CACCGTCCGAATCTTCCTCGCTCCCGTCGTCCGCTACCTTGGCTTCGTTGCCTGCTCGATTCTCTAAAGCGTTCGAACTACTTGCGCCTGCGTTCCTGCCCAGGTGATGTCAGTGTCGGCACAAACGCCCAGATATTCGAGGAACTGCGTACTTGTTTCGCGTGTTCGTGTCGGAAGGCGACTCTTCATGCTTGTCCTTCCCCGATCCCGACGATGGCGAGGGGAGAAGTGCCATCAAATCGGCCACGGTCCCCGTCTCCTCGTGGAACTTGGTCACAGTCGCAACAACTTTCGCGCGAGCATCGGGAGGAAGCGCGTCAACATGGGCCCTCAGCTGGATGACACTGCGAATAAGAGGGCCGTATATGTCAGAGACAGCGGGTCCGTTCGAGGAAGGCAATGGCGTGTCCGCCGGACGCTCCGGTGTCACCGGCGCATCGGAGTCCTCGTAGTCAGTGTCGTACGGAGCCTTAGTGTCGTCTGTACATTCGAGGGGTGGCTTCCAAGGACCACTACGCGGGTATGCGCTGATGTAGGAAGAAGGACGGAGATCAGTATGGGGCAAACCCACTGCGCCACGCGTACTCACTGAGAACGCGTGCTCCTTGCGAGTCTTGCAAGCATCTGCATCCTCAGCGATAAGGCGCTTCGCCTTCTTGTTCTCGCTACGGCGGGCCTCGAACTGTTCGTCAGTTTCACCGGGCAGAGGATCAGCAAACTTTTCGAGGTATTTGATGTGGATTCTCTTGGCAGCGCGCCTCTGCGCACCACGTTCGCCAGTCGCGAGTATCTTGCGAACCTCGGACGAATGGCGCATCATGTCGATGAAGTCGGCTTCATCGTCTCTGAGAAGCGTTAAGCCCATCTGGAATATGACAATGCGAGTCAGTGACGGAAGGTTGGAGGAGAAGGGAGCGTACGATGGTAAGGTCCAAGAGGCGGCAGAGTGGGGGGGGGGAACACGAGCACCGTCGGGGGCGGACGGAGAAGGGAAAGGAACTAGATGAGGAACACGCAACAGCACGATCAGGCGCAAAGTCGAATGGCGCAACCTCACTAAATCACGCCGCTGTTCCGGACGACAGCGGCGTAAACGTCCAAACAGAACCCTCTAGATAGAGAACGGTTAATCATTGAGCATGCGGAGAGTTATGACCAGGCATTTGCGACTGATTAGCTTGGCTCTCCGTGTCGTGCTGGTCTCCAACTCCAATCAATCTGAGATGCCTCGGCGCAGTCGACCCGAGGCGTCGTAATTGGTGGAGAAATATATTTCTAGTCTTCACATGGCCGACTGCACGCAGACCGGCATACAGGCTTGCTATCCAGGTACGTCATGTCGCGGAAGACTTGTTGAGATCGAGATACTACATATCTCTGCCCAACTTGAGAGCCTCTTCATCTTGTACTCCGTGAGGGGGACATTGCGACGAGCATGTGATGACAATCGAGGTCCTGGAAGGACAAACGTAGACCCTCAGTGTAGTGTGCCTGCCCGTCGCATCGGGGGGATTCGACCATCGGACATCGTTGCCACTCACCCGGGTGTACCAGGCTATCACAATAATGATCTTGTCCGTAGAGGTGGTCTGACCGGTTGCAGTGCCTAGGCGCAAATTGATAAAAATTGACGCGGCGATTGTTCACGAGCCATCCTGCATGCCGTATTAAAACGAAGACCCCAGGAATGCAATTACTCCCAAAATGTGACAAACCGATGTCGAAATATCGCACAGATCTTCATTGGCATACCCTCGCCCCTTCGTGCAAAGCTGTCTTGGGCTATTGAAATCCTGAACACGTCAGACCGCACACGATGATGCGCTTCACCCACTCCGATGTCAACTCGACCCAGTAGTCAGATCAGGCGGAAGATAACGACAGAGCACGGTGCGAAAGGCCACAATCAACGAGCATGTACCATTATCCACACCCCGGGGAACTTGGCTCAGGAACGGCTTGACCTTCGTTTTCGACAGTGGCAGGGAGCGAGGACTCGATCGTTGCGAGGGGCGAGGATTCGATAATGGCAGGGGGCGAGCACGATAGTACCGATGGAGCGGGTCGAAGACCGTCGCGAACGGGGGGTGTCGGAAGTCGCTGGAACTTCTCGATGAACGTACGTACGTAGTACCGCACCGCTATAGTCTGCACCCGACGGAATTCCTCAGGGTCGCAAACTTGCAGGCGGACAGGGAGGTCCTCATCCCCGAGTTCTGCTGGACGACCAGGCCAGCGGGAAAGGAGCTCGACGAAGGCCTTGAGATGCGGCCGACTGGACTCCCAGTCGTCCTCCGGCGGGGACGACCAACAAAAGTGTACGTCGGGCGACTCCCAATCAGGACAAATGTCCATGCCAGATCGCGGGGGACCCCATACTTCCGAAACATGCGCCTCACGTGCCCACCGTTCCATCTGGCCCCAGTTGCGCGAACCGGTCATCAGGGCGTCCAGGGCGAGGAGCTCACAACGCCAGTTGGTCTCGTGAGCCTCCCATACCAAACGATGCTGGATGTGGTCTCTCGTCTCCGCCGCCTCCGCAGTGATGACATCCTGACCGACCTGAGGCGAAGATGCAGGATCGTACGATGATAGACCAGCGTGCTGCCCGAAAAGTTCTCGCAGGGACTGTTTCAGACGATGACGGACTTTCGCACGGGCCGAGGCAGCGTCCTTGGAAGTTGCTCCGGATCGATCAGGGGCGCTGTTACCATCTGTCTCGTAGTCGCCCCACAGGGCATCCCGCCATTCGGCAATGGTCAAGGGACGACCTGCAATGGTCTGGTCGAAAAGTCGCAGGCGGCAAAACATTCGAATCGACGCGAAATGATGAATGTAGCGTGACATCCGATCGCGCGGGGCCTCGTAGCCGTCGAGGCAGTCCAGCATCCATGGTGGCGGGAAGTAGTAAGTAACGGCGGCGGTAGGCTGAGGCAAGGGCTCTAGGGGTGTGAGGACGTCCAACCAGACAGGGGACGTTTGCATCGTACGTGAGGCGTAGTGCTTGCGAAAGGGGTTCATGACGAAGCCTGATTTGGAAGGGGGCGAAGGAACGGGGAGTGACGACTTCCCGGGCCGCCGATCGCGCGCGGCCCGACGTTTTGAATACGTAAGGCGAGGAGCGGGAGATTTGAGCTCGTGAGGGAGGGTCTTCGCCTCTCGGGCATCGCGCTCGAATATCACAGGGCGCGCATTCCCCACAGTGGAATCCCATCCATTCGGCCATTGCGTTTCAAGCCGGGGCCTCTTCGTGCCCGGAGCGGCATCGTGTTCTTCCTCTGGCCGAAGCTGCGGAAGTTGCGAGGCACAAGGTTGCCGATAGACAGCCGCCGTCATCGCCCGTTGTGCCTCGCCTGCAGTATTAAGGGCGCCCGATAGATCTCGAAGAGCGAGCACCAGGCGGGGATACGCGGGCTTCCTCGAAAACTGGAATGGAAGATCCGTGGCAGGTACGACCTGCCATATCGCCACACTCGGCCGGAAAGGCTGGTGGAGCCATACAGGAACTCCGGCCCGATGGAGGAGCTGAGCGAGACTAGGGTCGGGGGTGTGAGCCCCGACGACGTCAAGCAATTGATCCCGATAGTCTTCCGTACTCATCATACGAGGGGATACCACGTCCAGGTACACACGAAGGCCCACGAGCTCAAGTGAGAGTCGCTGTACGTGGGCGGCAAGAGCGATGATGACAGATCGGTCTGCGGGGATCGCCCGAAGGCGATCCAGGCAGTGACTAAGGCAAAGCGAGAGGAACAGTCGGGTGTACTCCAACGACGGCGGGGGGTCCTGGCAATCTGAGGCAGCCTGGGATGCCCGCAAGGCGGCTCTCTCAAGTTCGTCAAAGAGCCCCGCTTGAAGCAGGCCCATGCGGACAACCCCGCTATTGACTGTCGTCCAGTCCTCCTCTTGCCAAGTCCGCCAGAGAATGTCGTCTTTCGGGGCGAGTTCAGAATGGACGCGTGGTAAGCACGCCACGTGCGCGAGATCGTGATCGTAAGCCTGCGGCCAGCGAGAATACTCGTGTCGACCCCAACGGCCATCGGTGAAAGTCGTGACCTCACTGTGCGCAATCGCAAAGCGTGGCACAAACGTCGCATTAGGCGACGTCACGATGGAACCGCTGTGGAAACTCGGCCCAGCAACCAGACCATCGAAAGCCTCGATCCAGTGTGCGGCCGGCGCTGATACGAAGTTATTAGCTTGGTACACTATATTGTCCCGGGGAAACTTACGCGGCCCTGTCCGATTCACGGTCACACCGGGTGGCAAGGTTGTCTGCATGTCTTCGGAAGAAGGCTTGTATTCGAATGGATTAATGCTGCTATAAAAACATAAACATGTCAATTGCACGTCTACCTATGCGCGAGGATTCTGATCATCTTTACTCACCCATTGGGCAACTGCAGGTGGGCCATCGTTGTGAGCGTCACACGTGAGCTACCAAGAGCACGTCCAAAACGACAAGATTGGGGTAGTCCGGCAGCGGGAAGCGGCTGGCGGCAGACAATGAGCGTCTCATAGAAACATTGAGCAAATGGACGTGAGACGTAGTCTCGTCATATGTGGGCCACGGTAACCCACGGGGGTTGGGACTGACGTCCCCCTCCGTGGCGTGACAGGGATGTATATAGAACACTAACATGTATACGAAATATATTCCGGCTCGCGGAGGAGACTTGACCGGACTCGCAACGAAAGCCTGCTAGTGAAAAGAGGAGTGGATCAGATGAGAAGGAGGGTTTGAAAGCCAGAGGGAAGCGGACGTGAGACGGAGTCTCGTCCTGAGAACACGGAGATCCGCAGAGGGCGGGACTGTCGTCCCCCTCTGGGGCGTGCAGTGATATAGTAATTGTGATGTATACGTACTGAATTGCTAGCTGACAAGGAACAGATTAGCAGGTGTGAGGCTGGCAGACATTTAACCCCACCTGAAGCTTGCAATTGCCGGGGCGACGTCGCTAGAGTGGAAGATCTGATTGCTTTCATCGCGTCAGATCGCGTGGAAGGTTACTGGAGACCAGTACTTACCTGACTGGACAGAAACCAATGGAAGAACTACGTAAACCCGCGGTACGCGTCGAGGTCGCAACGAACTGTAGGATGTGAGAAGAGTAGAGTCGCAAGAGAGAAGGCCATCACGCGACCCGAAGGACGCGTATGCACCGTGTGAAAACCAAGTCGCGTCAACGTCCGTGACCGTGTTGCCTGGCACGTGCTCATTCCTGGCTGTGCCGATTAGGCGCTATACTGCAATTCAGCAATGTAGGAGCGAATGTTGCACCGGATAGAAGTCCGCAGTGAATCGATGATATATTTGTGTGAGATACGAAGGAGTAAGTAGACTAGTAAGTGTCAGACGTCTCAGGCTTGGAGGGAAGGGTCAGGGTGCGGCATAAATCCTCATTGTCTAGCTGTCGAGGATGGATGTGCATGAAGAAGACGGTTTGATCGTGAGTGCGTGTGTGCATTCCCTTGACCTCAAGTCTGCAATCTAGCTCAATATCCAGTAGGTGTACCAGGGTGAGTATGTCCATGGCAGGCGTGGCAGTAGCAGCAGTACAAGCCAGCTAAGAACATGATGTATACGAGTCTGATGTACGACAATGGGTGTATTGTGAAGTCTTTTATATCTCAACCTGTGAAATGCCCAAGAACAGGCTATGGGTAATCAGAGGAGCTCTAGTAAATCTTTCAAAAATCCAGACAAGGGCAAACGGCGCAAGATGCCTGAGCACACGACTGATCATCTACGACAGTTGGAGCCCAGTCTCAGAAGGTGCCACTGGCAGTAGCTTGCCGGAGGTCCTGACTCCAACATCAGGATCCTAACAAAGGAATCAACCTTGAGACGATAAACAGCACATTTTCACACTGAGGTAATTCTTGCCACCAGAGCCACTGTACATTTGTACTTGTACCCGTTTCTGCGGTGGCTTGGGACTACTGTCCCTGACTTAATACATTGAAGTTCACTGACCGTGGGAGATCTCATACACATGGTATCGCCCTACTGTCAATGTACGTAGACCATATGGACATACAGGACTCTGACTAGATGTTGAACGCTACAGAAGCAGTTTGGTGCGACCTGCGCATGTGTGAAGTGTTCCTGGTACACCCGTCCAGCGCAGTCACTCGTTTACGCTGGAGACAAGTCCATGGAAACGGACTGTATCACCTAGTCCATGACTGTCCGTCTAAGACTTTGGTTCAGAAAGGCATATCGTCACAAGTGGTTGTTCATGTCGTGGTTCCTATGTTCTCAAAGCAAAATTCCGAATGCATGTCGTCCGGCGTGTCCGCGGTAGCAACTTGTATTCCGATTATGTCGGCCTTAGCTGCTCCGCCACAGAATGCGTGAGAATATCGAAGATGTTGTTGACAACGCGCGCGCTCAAGGGATAGAGGTCTCCATGTATGACTTCTACCGAGCTCCCTGCTATCTACCCAGGTCTCTGCTGAATTGGGCAACGAAGTCGAGCAACAGGTACGATGGTGTAGACATTACTGACAATGTACCTTGTTTGTACGCACCGACAAGCCTGTCGCCGTGCATAGGAAACAAGACAGGATGGGCGACCTGGACGAATGGACCAGGCGTTGTCCCATCCTCAGGACTATCTCCTCGACATCGCCCAGGCAGAACGTGGTCGCCTTGCGGGAGACAGTAGAAGCCCACGATCAGGATGTGCAGCTCTGTAATGGAACAACAAGTTGTAGGGCACAGCTGCTCCTGCATCATTGCATGAGGGCATCTTCGACGTGCGTGCGGAAGCCGTCCTCGTATTCAGTTAACTTGTATATTTCCAACTGCCAAAGATGTTATAGATATGCTTGAAGCTTGCGAAAGTCACCGCGATTTTGGTGCCACCTGATAGAGAGGCCCACTGCCCATAAGTTTCCTAATTAGGCAGTTTTTTTCTCCCAGACAGCGAGAGCGAGAGCAGGCTCAGCTTCTGTTGAACACCGGCTTGGATCCCTATAGCCCCCTGCTCTGCCATTTTCCCCTGCTGAGATCACAACCACTTCATCATATCTTGTCCCTGCTCATACATGACCAAGAAAAAGCCCCCCAAGCCGAAAGCGGCCGCAGGACCACACGTTGGCGGCTCAGCGACGAGTGGTTCACGCCGTAATCCATGGGCAAGTTTGGAGAGTGACACTCGAGCTCATGTTTCGAGTCTACCGGATTTCCAAGCACCAGGGGCAGTCGAGGTGGATGCCGGTCTGAAGCGCAAAGCGGAAGAGGTTGCTGAAGCTGAGCTAGCTGGTGAGGGCACCGGGAAGCGGCGATACGTAAACAACACCATTGTACGTGCAGTTAATCTTCCACCTCGCTCATGTGTAACATACGTTTGCGTAGTCTCCTTCGGAGAGGATGAGACAGTTCCTCCACCAATGGGCAAGACCGGCTAAAGCAGCGTATATGCGTCGCGAGGCTGGCCCCATCTTCCCGACGAAATGCCACTCCTGTTCCGCCGTCTTCTCGGGGAATACCACAGAGATCATGTACCGTTGCTTCGACTGTCTGAATGCCCCTATCGAATGCGGTGAATGCACGATCTCGTCTCATGTGAGGACTCCGTTCCATCGGGTCGACGTCTGGGCGCCGGATCTGGGCTTCTGGGACAGGAAGTCACTGGCAGCGGTCAAAAGCCCGACTGGAGCTAGATTGACGATCGAGCTTGGCCATCCATTCGGTGAGCCATGCAGAATGCGCGATGCCAGTCGTGGACCACGCAACATGACCATAGTACATGATCACGGCATTCACGAGTATCCAGTACGCTTCTGCCCGTGTCTTGACCCGGAAACGGACGAGCCCGTGCCCGAGCCCATTCAACTGATCCACTTCGGGTTGTGGCCCGGAACATGGAAACGTCCAGAGTCGGCGTACACGATCTCGGGACTCCGCGATCACCAGCTGCTGGGTCTTCAAGCTCAAATGTCCACCCATGACTACTTCGAGTATTTGCGACGCACCACGGATATGGTGTGTCCAGAAGATGTTCCGGTAGGTGCTTACTCTCCCACCCCTTCCAGCGTTGAACCTGACGGCGGAAAAGGACCGCTATCGCGAGCTCATGACAGCCGCACGGGAGTTCATGTTCACGCGAGCTACGAAACGCGCCGATGTAGAACCCACACAGGAACTCGAACCGGGTGTGCTTGCCATTCGCTGCCCGGCGTGCCCGCAACCAGGCATCAACATGGATCCCAAGTATGAGAAGACCGGTAGGCCCGAAGGGGATGAGTGAGTCTCAACGCGAATGGGTCTGTGAATCTGTACTGACAATTCTATCAGATACCTGGATGGCTTACACTACACGATCGATGGCAACTTTCAGCAGACGCAGAAGAATAAGCCGATGGATGAGGCAGATGAACCGCTGACGCTCGGAGCGGCTTATCATGCCGACGAAAGAGACTTCAAGGAGTTTCAACGCACGCGTCCAAAAGAGAAGAAAGAAGTACGTCTCCACCGATGACGGCGATTTCATACTCATCATCGTCGTGTTCCAGCCAACCACCTGCCACAAGTTTGGGGCCATGGGTTATTCACGATATGGCGGGCGCGTAACGGGTACTGTAGGATTATCCTGCGCGCGGCACATGTTCACGCTACCCTTGGGTTCAGTGGATCTGAATGGCCCGGAGGCGTAAGTTCCTGATCGCCGAGTAGATGTGCGGTGTGTTTAACCGCCATATCTCTGTCACCAGATTCTGTTACGCCGACTGGGTACAGCTTACGGCATTGAGGCCGTACTGGAAGACATTACGCTGGCTCGCGGTCGGATACGATATCAATTGTCAATATCGGATCCACTTCCACGAGCGGATCAGGGAACTACAAAAACGATACGGACACCTCAAATCTATTCCGGCAGACGATTTCGTATTCGAGCTCCTCTCGGCGGTCGGGAAGTTTCACCTGCCCGCGCACATCCAGGCTTGCCGGTTCAAGTTTTCGTATTACTACCTCCGTGGCGTCGGCATGACAGATGGTGAGGCCCTCGAACGAATATGGTCTATCCTGAACTCTCTCGCCGCTCGCACGAAAGAAATGACACCGGGACACCGTCATGACGTACTCAACGACTTCCTTGGCGACATGAACGTACGCAAGCTGCACAGCATTGGTAAGCGAAAGACTGGAACTACTCTGGTCGCCACTGACTCTCCGTCAAGCACGCACCCTAGCAGACAGGTATGAAAAGGCGAGGAGGCAGCTGGCCACGATGGAAGAAACGATGCAGAAGCTCGAAGAGAACTTCACCGTGGACGAAATTGTGGCAATGCAAGCGGAGGAGGCCCAGTGGCTAGCGGACGTTCGCGATTTAGATAAACACAAGAAACTGAAGAATCCTTACGAAGTCAAGGAAGACAAGGGTGAGTGGCCTCACTTGGAATATTGCAGTGAAGGCGACGTCCGTTTTAGTACCGACCACGAAGGAGCTCCTCGCTGAGATAGCGCAGGCGCGCAGCGTCGAACACGAAGGTTCGGATGCCGCACTCAGCGTGCTTCATGTCGTCTTCGAAGGGGTAGAACTCCAGTCTCTACGGTATATCTCCGCCAGTACAAATTGATAGATCACGGCTGACTCTAGCCACAGGGAGGATCTGCTGGATGTGATCGAAGAGAACGACGAAAGCGAAGAAGGTCAGAAGACGAGTGATCAGATCCGTCTTGACTTCCTCTCGAGGCTGGCGGAGTGGACGCCGGCATTCAATTCGGTCATTCAGCCTGTGCTAGACGCCGCGGCCAAAGAGGTAATGAGTGAATACAAGGGCTCGACTTCGCTGCCAGACACATTCCCCCTCCGCGGTAAGGAGCATCTACAACCGAACCTCAAGAGCAAGGACGAGCGAGCCAAACGAGGTCTACCGCCGTTACGCGACCAAAATGCGAAGTCCGCGAAGTCGGCGTTGTGGCGCGAGATCGAGAGCGTTGTCGTCCCCCTCCCTTCGAGCTTCCATGAGCTCATCTTGCAGAGGCCGTCGATGAAGACCCTAGTCAACTGGGAAATCAAGGTGCGCGAAGGCCAGGCTGCGGACGCGCTCAACGACCTCCGAACAGGTCTTATCGCGAGCGCGACACTCAAGCTCGCCAAGATAGACATGACTGGGAAGCGGCCTACCCTACGCGTCGGTAAGAAGATTCACCGTAAGAACAACGAGGTCGCGGCGGCTGCCGAAGAGTACAGACGGGCTTGGGTAGCCCTCGAAGCGCTGGGCATGACTGCAGACGAGGATGAAGAGGGGACAACCAAGAGCGCCGCCAAGGGTAAGCTGGACGCTCCGGAACAGGACCGTTCGGTGTCGGATTCCCAAGAGCACACGGTGGCCTCGACGGAAATGGGACCGTCAACGTCGCGCAGATATCGTCGCCTTCGCAAACGAGATGCCGTCCCCTTCATCATGCACGACGCTCGTGAGAGCATGAATCGGAGCAAGCAGACGGTTTCTTGGATTTGGGAAGACTTCGGCTTTGCTTACAAGCAGAACGACCCGAAGTACCAGGCGTTCCTTGAAGACGGTATGCTGTCCCCCACTTGTATGTATTTACTCGTAACTGATGCCTGGGCGAGTCAAACGCGTGCACTGGTTCCGATGCAGTGCCATGCTCGCTCGCTGGCGAGAGGAAGTCCGTCTCCTCGGGGAGGAGACACGTCGAACGGTACGGTACTTCGGTTGGTTCCGAGGGAAGTGGTCGAGGCGCGCGCGCGTACATGAATCGAGCGGCAAACGCGACGCGGCAGCCACGGCGGCATACGCGCGAAAGTATGTCATCACACATCTAGTCGTGACTAAGGCTAACGGCTGACCAGGCAAGCCCACCGCTATGTACGCCTGCTAGATAAGTGTCGGCGCTCGTATACAGCAGCCGGAGTTGGGATCGTAAGTACGCTTCTTGACTTCGATGTCACGTGACTGACAAACGTTATAGGAAACGGAGTTGTGGGAGGCAGCCACAAGAGACGACAATGAAGTTGATATGGTTGACTGAAGAGTCTACTACAGCGGTGGTCTGTCCTATATATTTATTGCATACATATGAGGGACGCGACAGTCACTGTGCGACGAGTGCGACGATGTGACGCCCGTAACACCTGAAAATTCGCTCTTGACCCAAATACCGCCCTGTTGCAAGCTCTCTGTGTCCTGTCCTCACCTCATACACTCACCATACATCCATCCATCCTTGGGCACCATCATGGCACACCAGGAGAGGCGCCAGGAGCAACAGATTGTGAACAGAGAGGACTATGAAGTGAGTACATGCCATCTAAGCTGCCTGCACAGTACTGAGCGCGTTCACAGGTGTTTTCTTGGCTCTTCCGTGAAGAAGGGGCGGATCTTGAGACAATCCGCTGGTCTTCCTTCACCAGGGTAGCCCTTCATGATCGCATATTGTGTATTCAGCTGATGTTTTGCAGGCAATGAGGGGGTTAGGCTTCATCCAAGAGCAGACCCACGGCTCTGTCAATCGCTTCAAAGGCCCCAAAAACAACAATTGGCAGTGGGGGGGAGGTGCCATAACCTATCACACCGTAGGCTAGTCCTTTCAGCCGTGTTTGCGCGATTCTGACTTGGATCGAATTGGTAGCCCAAGCGCGGCACACTGAGGCCATATGATCGCACTCAGTATGCAGTCGACGACACGACGCGTCTTGACCTACTAATACATATGCTCACAGGTTGCGCGACCGGTTGGCCCGCAACTTTGGCTGGACCGCGGCGACCTTCCAATGCGAGACTGCGAATGAAAAAGCGGACCGGCGGGAGAGGGAATTGAGGCAGATGAGGCGGGAGGGGACGAAGGAGCATGAACGCGCTCAAAAGAAGGGGAAGGGGGGACAAAAGCGTCGTTGAGGCGACGTCATTGGGCTTTAACATTCTCATGGTACATAGGGTGCGTTTCTAGCAGCTCAAAAGCAAAAGCAAACTCTTGTTTTCTTGCGCGGTCGGTTTGTGCACGTCCGCGATGCCGTCCCATCGCCTCAAGTCATCGATTTTGACGTCCTAGTCTGCTCAATTGACAACCTCTGAGCCGCTGTTGTTCTGTCTAGCAAGGTGCGCCTAGCTGGTCGGCTCAACGTCGTAATCATCTCACCATCCTCTCTTCAGGGAGAGTACACAGACGCGCCCCACGCCCTTGTGAGTGACCATGCATGTTTACGTTCCAATACCCAGCTCACCGTACACCAGGTCAAAGCGAGAGTGTCCGAAGAGGAGAACCTCTGGGCACTTGTTGCATCTTACGAAGGCGATCGGGAAGACGTTGGCTTCACGCTTACAGTGTACTCACACCGCAACGCTTCCTGGGTGACCACACCGAACAAGTTCATCTACTCTCAAGACGTAAGTGGCAAGTACATACGAACCAACATCCTGATTGCAACTGCCTGTTCAGGTCGAAGCAGCCTTTACGCAAAAGACCGCCGGCGGGAACGACATCTATTCTTCCTACTACCTCAACCCTCAGTATCACTTACGCGTACACCCGCGCGTTGATAGAGCATCGCGCGCGAGCAGAGACGCAAAGTCGGCAATATCAGTGTTTGTGAGCACGGACAGACAGATCCCCGTAAACATCATGCCCGCTTGGTCTCAAGGCGCCAGGATCAGCGAGTAGGTTTGAATCGACACTGCATACGTTATTAGAAACTGACCCTGAGCTAGATTAAGTCACAACGATCTCGCTCTTTCCTCCGGTCCTTACACATACGGCTATGCCAATGCGTCCGGACGCATACCACGTACGTATCCGCTCTCATCAGCACCCTCTCCCATCCCCGTTCATCTGAGCTTTGCCCACAGCGGGAGACCACTATAGTCTGGTAGTCTCAGCCTTTGAGCTGCACCACATCGGCAAGTTCGACCTGAGGGTCGAGTGCTCGGACCGCTTCGACCTCACGCCCATTCCCCAAGAGGGCGTAGGGATGTTAAGCAAAGCGGTCCGCGGTGAATGGTACGCACGCCTTGCTTGTGCCGCCTTTGACACTCCCTTGCGCCCGAGCCCAGACGTGATCGTGATCGTATAACCGCAGCACCGGAGAAACAGCGGGCGGCGGACCAAGCTCGAGCTCGTACTCCTCGAATCCGACTTACGAGCTCCAACTCCCTGACCCGGCCCAGCTCAGATTCCGCCTGCAGCTAACCGAGCCGTCGCCTCCCGTAGCACTCAACGTCACCGTCTTCAACCTGCCCACGGGGACGGGAGCGCTAGGACGGCACGTCGCGACGTCTGGGCCCTACTGCGACGCCATCTCGGGAGTGATCATCGAGAAGTTGACATTGCAGGCGGGAAAGTACCTCGTCGTGCCGTCAACGTACAAGGCGGGGGTGCAGGCGGCGTTCAGGTTGATTATGTATAGTACAGTGTCGGGCGTGCAGCTCGTGCCCAGGAAGGAGTAGTGTATGAGGGAAGGAGGATGTTGTATAAATACATTGTAGCCGTGTTTTTTGGCATTGCACATTTGTAAGTGGGGGAGATATGATTCATCTGCGCCGGTAAGACGGAGACGAGAGCAAGAATTCGTGCACCCGCTTCAGCGTAACACGCGACGGGTTCGCCTCCAGCCTGCTAGAGATGATCCATCACAATCGTGTCCGGATCGACTCCTTGCTCGCTGCTGAGGCTACAACCGTAATCAGAAGACATTCCGTCCTATCGAATGCGGGCGCACGTACCTGCAGCCCCGTGCTCGAGTAGCTGCCCTTGATCGTCAAAGAACAGCTGCAGCGCGGCGAGGGCGATGCCAACGCTCGCGTCCTTGCCCGAGTCGCAGCATACGCAGACGGTATCCCCTCGCTGGGAACGCTTCTCGATGAATCTGGGGGAACGCAAGCTGGTCCTTCTTCCCTTCCGCGAGCTTGAATCGGAGGACGTGTTGGTCCGGCAGTGTTTGGTTCCCATCCACGCGTTCTGCTGCTGGCGTGTCGGTCTGGGGAACGTGAGCTGTCGCGGAAACGACGATGAAGGATACACGACCATCCACATCAGCCAGGGTGTTGGGAACGTCCGAGGGCATATCGGAAGCGTTGCCGACGTACAGCCGTCCGTTCGTCACCCTGACGGGAGTAGGAAATGTTTTCCATGTCTCGCGGTGTTTACGAGTCTTGGATCGCTCGAAAATTTCCTGGACGAGTTCCGGGAGCTCCTCTCGCGAGGTGCTGAGGAGCGCGTCTTCATGCTTCCAGAAGAGCTCGGCAGTCAGGCCCTAGCAGGAAGTGAGTGGGTGAACCAGCGGGGGAGCTCTATCACAGAGGACTCACCATACCCCATAGCTCGTGGTCATCGCCAGACCCCTGCACATACGAAAATCCGTTCAAGCGGCGCTCGACGTCCCAGTCCTTTGTTTTCGAGTGCGCGATGAGCATCGCGCGGTTGAGCACCGCACACTAGATCGGGACCGTCTTTGATAGCGCGTCTGGAGTACGTTTTCCTGCTCGCGTGGAGTCTACGAGCAGAGTGGCGGTATGATACACTCACCCATGCTTTGCGATGATGTAGGGAAGGAGGTGGAGGTTCGGCTGTCTCAGGTTGAAGTTCCAATTGCCAAATAGCCGTCCGTTGACTTGTAGTACGCTGGTTCCGGTGTGGCCTTGAAACGGGTCAGCGCGAATGTCAACGCCCATTAGATGTGCTCGCTCAAGGTCAAATGCTCACGATCGCTGGATCAACATACCACGCGCCACAACGAAGGTTTGCGTCGCGCAACGTGAGCACGGACAAGGCGGCGAAGGCGCTAGCTGGGGTGCGCCCAATCGGATGCATTCCTAGATGCATCCGTCATGCATCCGTTCCCCACAGGAGATGCATCCTTCTACTATTGGATGCATCTGTGTGCCGTTGGGATGCATCCGTGTACCGTGGTATGGATGCATCCATCCGGCGGTAGAGCACCGATACGGATGCATCCATAGTACTGAATACCTACGCGCGCCTTCTCATTCGAGCTATGAGGGTATAGAAACGGTCCTGTGGGGCAAGATTGGGGTGATTCGGTGTCTGCTCAGGCACCACTGATCCTAGCTAGTGTTCCTTATGGGGACTTTATGAGAGTTGTTTCGGAACTCGAGGTCGCTCCTTATCGCTTGTTGTTCTCGGCCACGTCGGTTCTAGAGACGTTTACTATTTTGATGTTATGGGTGGCTGCAGAGACACTATAGTACGAAACGGGCATGTTGTCCAGATACATCTTACAATCATATCATCGGCTACAACAGGAGTCCACGAAACTCCCATTGGCCCTTCGCCGCTTAGCCGAGTAACAATTTGAGTCCTGGTGTCAAACACAAATACCGCGTCGTCCGATATATTCACGTTTGTTGCCTTAACGTAGTGCCATATGCAACCCGTCGATAAGTGGAAGGCGGACATATTAGAGGATGGCTCTTGATGTCATTGAGGTGAATAAGAGTTCACTTGGAAGGCAGACGCAGATGACGACTTCGGGTGTCAGAGAATGCTCGATACGATTGTTTCACATTGTCATGCCTGCCCCGCTGGTATATATCTTTACCTGTATATGAACCACCACTTCATGCTACTAGTTGTATTCACAACGCCGCCAGCATCACAGCGCTACAGTGTAAACACACGAGCACACGACCAAAACTTCAAATTATAACGACTACTTTTCCTATGCTCCATGACGACCATCCGCTTCAGTCAAACTCTCCTACACTGGCAGACAATGATTAGAGGGTTGTCACGTCGTCTTCGCTCAAACTTGTTCGGATCAGCATCTCAGCTTCCGGAGAACGAGGCTTAATGATGCAATCGAAAGGCTCCGGGTATCTACGATTCGGGTTCAGACAGGTTGAAGCGTGCCTCTCGAGGACCGGACAATACTCACGAGAGGACACCGTGGGTCATCTTGACGTGGTCGGCGAGGCGAATAGGCTGAGTGTGCTCGTCGAGGGGTGCTTCAATTGACATGGTGTGTAGGATCCCCGACACGACCGCATAGATGGATCCTTCTGCGAAGTGGCGACCCGGACAAATCCTGCGAAGAGTTTTGTGGAACAGTTCAATTTGAACGAGTAGTCTGAACGAGAAGAGCCACGTACCTTCGTCCATAGCCGAAAACTATGGCAGCTGGATCCTGAGCGTTATGGTCTAGTTTACCATCCTTGAGGAAGCGTTCCGGTCGAAATGCCTC